CGGGTTTGTCGGCCAATTGTGAGAGGCCCATGGCATGTGGACGTGTAATGCTATATGTGACTGCGTACATACACATACTAGTAAGTTACTTGGCCGTGAAGAGGGAAAAAGCAAAGTACCGAAACACGGGAAAGTTTGCAACGTTCAATGATGCTAGTACCTGCCCCTCAGTTGTCTCGGGTCATTGGAACAAAAGTGAACTGGAACAAACCACAAATCTGTCTTGCAAGAATGATGTGCACTACAGGCATCGGTAGGTCGGTTGTACCATCCCAACAGTTTTTGCCGCCACAAATTTCGAGGTCAAAGGTAGGTAGAGACACACACAAGGGCCAGCATCCCATATGTGGCAACCGGAATACATGTACTAGCCAGCGCAGTCCGTTTCTTTTTTCTCATGGCATGGGGGCGACGGCAACGATTTGTGTCATGATAGCTTTTTCCACAGGGGCGGTGAACCACCCTTGACGAACTTTAAAAACTGGCCATCGCCATAGGCCCAATCGTTCTGTCGCCGCGAAAGAGACAGTACTACCAGAGTGTCAGACAGCCATCCAAGAAGTGTTCAAGACGGGGATGATGTTTCCACTACTGGCGGGAGTACCCCTGGTTCCTGGGACTGGTCTTATCAATTCATGCAGAGTACAAAGTACTACATGAAGCAAACGTACTACGTACGTCCTACTTGCATATACATACAGACAAAGGAGCAACTCTTGTTGCTTTTGTACAGATGAACGACAAGGAGGCGGCCGGTGGAGGGTCTAAACTTAACCAGATGGCAACCCACACGCCCACACCGCTCCGGAAGATTTCCCAACGATCTTTGTTGTTCAGTGTTTCTCATGGCTGCTGTCATGTAATTATTGTACATTCAGACTCGGTCAAATGCTGCAATCACACGCCGCCCTGTCGGCGGCCCTGGAAACCGGCCGAGCCAAAACCGCAACAACGGGCTGCAGATATTATCGTCTACTAGTCACCAACTACCCCGGCACAAAGACCAGACAGACATCCGACAGGGTCTCACTTCTCAAGACTACATACGATGTTATTGTTCCCGTCCCAACCATACAAGACCATTCAAACTATTCAAGTCTTCGTTTCCGCCCGCGTGACATACAATACTACCAGCGTTTGCAAAACCCGGCAAAATAGGCCGTGTCCGGATTCGCTAGATTCGCTAGACCGGGCTTGTGCTACGGATATAAAGAGCAGTACGGGGTAATACATGCCTAGGTTCTCTCGATTTGTGCCGGGTGCCGTATTTGCCAGCTCGCTTATTTGAAGCCAAGATTAGTTATCCTGCCATACCGTCGACGCTTCGTCCTACCGCCGGGAAGCAAATACTAATCCCAGCCCACGTATCCCCTGATTTGCAATGCAATGCAGTAGGTAGTCACGAGTACCCCTCGATAATTATAGCAACGTTTCTTTTCTTTTGCATCTGGTTCTCTCTTTTTTTTTTTTACTTTTACTTTGCCGTGACCCCAGACAAAAAGAAAAAAGAAAAAGACGGCCAAGGCGCTGGGGAAAAAGAAACGATCCCAACATGGGACATCAAAAACACTCTCCTACCGCATTTGATCCAATGACACCTAAATAACGGTCAATCCCGCATTTCCCCAACCCCAGACTCCAGGGCACAGTGAGTCCCTTATTTCCTTCCTTGTCTCTGATGGGCATCCCGCTATGGAGAATGGGGCACGTACATGTACTCTTGCTTGTTGCTTGTAGATTGACAGCCTCAATTTCCCTGCCGCCCCAGCGGTTATTGCCAATGTGGCGTGAAGACAGCGCGGGTCCCGCTACGCATCATTGGCTGCTGGTTTGTTTGGCGCCTTTTTCTTTTTCCCTCTTCTTTTCCGGCAAGGGGAAGCCAAGGACAGTCATCTGCATGACAAGGATCTGACCTTGCGCGGAATTGTGAAACAGGCACGGGAGTTTGAACTGGAAAGGTCCAGTCTCTGCGCGTGAAGCTACGGCAGCTTGGGCGGTTGCTGGCGACGACAGAAGAGGCTGTCAACTCCTCCATCTTGTAGGGTAGGTTGGGAGAGTTTGAAAGATGTTGCAACTTGGCGAGAGTTTCTACGATTATTCCCCATCGGCGGAATTCAGTGCGGTGAGTGCTGGGACCGGGCCTGGGGTTTGACAAGTGAATGAGTGTTTGGGCACATATAACAAGGGCTGGAAACACAATTCAAGGTCACTGCCTCACAATAATGACACGCAGCCAATTTATGCCCCATTATCCTAATCATCAATTGCAACTCCTACCCTACACGGGACGTTGCGCCATAGTTCTGTTGTTTATACACATGATAATGCCATGTAAATGAAGGAGCTTCATGTTCGCCATATCCAAAAATGTACCCTCCCATTTCAAATAACCCTAATCCGTGGGTCCCCAGAATCTAAAAGTCAAACTCTGGTCGGAAAATGTCAGGGTCAACGCCAGCGACCGTCTTCTCCGCCAAGTCTCTGCGTCCCATCTGAGTAAACACTCTTCTTAGAGTGTCATACAAGGTGCTGCTGCGGTTCTGTGCAGACATCCTGTCAATGACCTCATCCACGTTGCTGCCAGCATTGTCACCGAGGATTTCGTGCGCCTTGCTTCGTCCAGACTTCTCAATGGACTTGTGCATCTCCAGGGCAGCCAAGAAGTGAGAGGCAGCCTCCTGATGGCAATTGATGTTGATACAGCTTACGCCGAGGTTGTAGCGAGCCCGGACAAAGTTGGGCGACAGGGAAAGCGCGTGCTCGTAAGCTGCAATAGCTTCTTCTGACCGTCCACTATTCGCCAGCGTGGCACCGAGTCTGTTCCAAAGCAGATGAACCTGTTCTTGCTGGTTCGATGTACCCAACTCTGATGAATGTAGTGCCGACTGGAAGCAGTCTACCGCCTTGTCGTATTCCTCCGCGCCATAGAACAATACGCCCAGGCCTACCTGGACATCGGGATCCATGTGCTCTCCATCAGGACTGAGACGAGCAGCCTCAATGAACAACTTCGTTACCTTTTCGTGAAGGATTTGGCGGTCAGTGAAGCCCATCTCGGAGGCTGGATGTAGATTCTTGGGATCCAAGATGCTAGGGTACTTGACCGAGAGCCAGCGCTCCAGTGTTCTATAGGCAGTGCTGTCATACCCCTCGTTGGTGTAGGACACCGCCAAACCCATCAACGCTTCCAAATTGTTGGGGTCCAACTTTAATGCCTGTTCCATGGCACGAATTGCAGCCGTCTCTTTTTCGTTCTGAGCCTGGGCCTTCCCCAGGTACACCCATGCCTCGGTGTGATTAGGGTTTTGCTGTACTGCGGCTTCAAATGCCAAGGCCGCAAGAGATAGATTCCCGCCCTCCCTCATAACCCGTACACCTTCGTCGAATGCGTTCTTTTCGTCGCGGAAGAAATTTTCTTGCTCGAACAGGTAGCTCTCGACGACAGGATCACCGAACCGGCCCCAGTCTCCCATGGAGAAGTCGGCGGGGATGTTGTCGTTGCTCCACTCGGTATCGAACTGGTCGAAAAAGGTATCGTCGTTGACCATGGATCTAGCAGCAGCCGTCTCAGCTTGGATTCCTTTCCAGAGGGATTCGAAGTCACCAAACTCATTAGTTTCAGATTGCATTGCCTTGTCAATCTCATCAAGTTCCCGCTCAGCCGCGTTGGCTTCGTCGTGCTCCTTCTCCTTCTCCTTGAGCTTTTCAGCCTCTTGGTCCTGGAGCTCGAGTTGAGCAAACTGCTCCTCCCATTTGCTATCGTCCAACTCTATCAACTTGCCCTTACCTTTGCCCTCGGGTTGCTGTTGCTGTTGGTGCTGCTGCTGGAGAGGTTGGTTCTGATACATGGGTTGGAACTGGCCATAGCCCATTCCCATATTCATCATGCCAACTCCCATCATTGGCCGTTGGGGCATCTGGCTGGACAAGTTGGCATTCTGCATTGGACTGGACCTGGCTGATGATGCTTGGCCATTCAGCTGTTGGAATCTCGCAAACTCGTCCGAGGAGAAGTGAGCTCCAGGCGGAGGCTTAAAAGCCGACTCCATGCCCGGCTGACCGTTGAAGTCCTGAGCCCATGACGGCGACGCTGAGCCGGCGCGCATCGGGGCATGCTGTGCTGGGTTCAAAGCAGGTCCTGCTTGCATGGGGAATTCTTGCTGGAGGTTCGGGGCGCCGTTGAGGAAGCCATTCATCATCTATAAGGTCATAAGGGGTCCACCATTAGTCACTTGGGGATCGAAACCAAACACGGAGGGGCGGGAGGAATCCGTACCTCGTCCTGGGGAGCATTGGCAGCCTGGCTTCGAAAGCCACCCATCTGACCACCGGGTCCCCTCCCAACGAGTCGGTCTCGCTGCAGAGTCTTGTCATCTTGGACGTGTTTTTGAAACTGGCTCAAAGGATTCGCCGCCGTGGAGCATTCGGCCCCTCCCATAAACGACATGATGTTGGGAATGTGCTGGTATAGGCGGGGTGTGTGGTTGAAGGTGGCGGATGAAGCGGCAGCGTTTCTCGTTGGGGATGAACAGGTCAGCCTCAGCAGCAATATGGGGGAAACAACTCGGAAGCGTGCCCAAGGTGAAGAAGGAAAAGGGAGACGAATGTTCAGACTGAGAGGAGTACGAGTACAGATTTGGGCTCGGTCGACATGGTTTGTCAGGACGTCACCTGCAGCTCGGCCTGTGGGGAAAAAGTACCGAGGCAGTCCGGCTCCGGCCTTCAGAAGGCTACAGAAGCGTCCCACGGCGCACTGAAGTTTCTCCGCCGGCCGCCACTCCTGTAAAGCCCAACAGAGGCAGACACGTGACTGCGGGGTGGGTGTTGCCACGGACGGTTGACGTTAACAACGCGGTTGGTCCCCCGGGGGGCGCTTATCGATAAGCATAGAGAGCCTCTTTTTTTTTTCCATCTAAGCTTTTTTTCCCATGGCAGCCTTCGTCACCAAGGAACATCTGATACCCACGTTCTGCAGCACGAACAAAGACCACACAGTCAAAATGCTTCGTCAAGTGTATGTCAATGTCGCTCACCTGGCTAGACAAGCAGCCGAAGCCACATGCAAATAACTGACCGTCTCCAGAAAACCTCGCAACGCCCGCTCAAAGCGAGCCCTCGAAAAGCGCGAGCCCAAGGCCGTCGAAAACCCCAAGCAATGCCTCTTCCTCCGCGGCACGTCCTGCTCGCAAATCGCCCAAGACGCCCTCACCGACCTCCACTCGCTCCGCCTCCCCCTCGCCAAGAAATTCACCAAGAAGAACCCCATCCACCCCTTTGAAGACGCCTCCTCGCTCGAATTCTTCTCCGAGAAGAACGACGCCTCCCTCCTCGTCTTCGGGAGCAGCCAGAAGAAGCGGCCTCACGCGCTGACGTTTGTCCGCACGTTCGGCTACAAGGTCCTCGACATGCTGGAGCTGCACCTCGACCCGGAGACCTTCCGGACCATGGCGCAGTTCAAGAATAAAAAGTTTGCCATTGGCCTGCGACCCATGCTCCTCTTTGCGGGCACCGCCTTCGAGAGCCCCGTCAGCAACGAGTACACTCTGGCGAAGAGCCTGCTCCTCGATTTCTTCAGAGGCGACCCCTCGGACAAGATTGATGTAGAGGGCCTGCAGTACATTGTCTCCGTCACGGCGGAGGATGCCACGGGCGACGGGGACGCCAAGCCCGCCATTCATTTGCGCGCCTACATGATTCAGACGAAGCGCAGCGGACAGAAGCTGCCCCGCGTGGAGGTGGAGGAGATTGGACCGAGGATGGACTTTAGGGTTGGCCGTGTCAAGGAGGCGGATGAGTCTATGCTCAAGGAGGCCATGAAGAAGGCGCGCGGCCTGGAGGAGCGAACCAAGAAGAATGTCACGATGAATTCAATGGGTGACAAGATTGGTAGAGTGCATTTGGGCAAACAAGACTTGAGCCAGCTGCAGTTGAGGAAGATGAAGGGCTTGAAGAGGTCGAGAAACGATGAGGAAGAGTTGGTTGAAGATGTTGTTGCTGATGACGATGCCAAGAGGATAAAGCAGTAGATGCGGGCTTGGAAAAAAAAACTTCTTGCATTTGGGGGTCTGGAGTTTCGGCGTCTAAATACGTATCTGGCTGCCCTGGCAGAGTCTGGAGCTTGCAGCTTTGTATGCATTGATAAGTTTGGTTGTTAAAAAGCTATTTTTTCTTTCTGTACAGTCTGTATCTCGCCAGTGTAGCTGGGACTGTAATATGATTAGATTGATTTCACCGTGCGGCTATGACCTCGCCAACTATACAAGTTCCTTGCACCACCCTCCATGTATAAAAGACGTCACGCCAGAAGTCATCCGAATTCGTATCCCGTAAAAAACCCAAACGCCGGGCTGTTGGTACTAAAAAGATCCCACATTGTCCATCTTGCTTGCCTAGTGACGGCGATAGTCCTACAATACCGTGCCATCTGCAAGTCCTAATCAAGAGGCACGGCCATGAGTTCCAGTTCGGCCTGTGCCGACATGGACGCAGTTGCTTGCGGATTGCTCGTCAACCGGGAGAATAATTCAATGTGGCTAACCATGGTATCGCCGTTTCCCGTGTTCGACTCGGCTTCCTTTTCATAATCCACGCCCCAAACGTCAGATGTTATGGTCCCTCCATTCCAAAGAGCTATGCGCACTGGCCACTCCAGATGCCTCCACCATGGAGAACCCGATTCAAACAGGCTCACGAGGCCCATGACCTCGCGGCGCGTAACGTCCTCGAGCCACCACACACTATCCATGCGCTTGAGAAGCGCAAAGAAGCAAGCTAGGATGGCGAGAGACCGGGGGCGTTTCTCGTCGACGACCTCGACGAATCTTCGGGATACACTGGCGGGAAAGGCCAGCGCAGCAGGGGGAAAGGGATTCTTGTGTGCCCAATTCAGAACACTGACGGCGTGGAAATAGCCCTGACTGGTGGCGTTGACCTTGTCTTTGCTTTCATTCGCGAGCTCGTCGTCAAGACCCTCGAGAAGATGGCCAAAAAAGGAATTGGGACCGAGCGGGTTCAAATCTAGTTGAAAGCTTGGCTGCGAGTCAATGACAGCTTGAACGATGTTGCTATTGCGTATCCACTGCCAAGATGTTGCAACAACAGTCTTGACGCCCTGGAATGCATGGAACCAAGCCATGGGCGTAGTGTATCGACTGGCTCCATCGTTGCTAGTCGTTTCCGTGTCATCCTTGATGAAAATTCGCTGTGCGGTAGCCTGAAAAGCAATGAGCGAGGCAGTCAGGAAGAGAGCCTCTGCATTGTCGGCCGTGATGCCATTGTTCAGCGTTTCAACATATGCCGCCAGTGCCGACGCAGCATACGCATGTGATGCCTGGACCAGGGCTTTGTCGGTGGGCTCTTGTGATCGCAGATGCAGAGCTGCCACGGAGAGCATGGCGTCGGCCAAGTACGTCTTGCCTCGAAAGGCCATATCAGGCACAGCCTTTTGCCAAATATCATGCGTGGCGGGCGAGTTGGTAAGCAGCGTTTTGCATGTGCTGGTGGTGTACTGATGAAGGAGCCGCAACTCCAGTAGCCTGTCCACAGGCCTCGACGTGTCTGGCTCGGGAGAGGCGCCATTGGGTTGAGGCTGAGAGGCCATGGACGTCGCCTGCGTCTGAGAAGGCGACGATACGGACGGTGATGGCTGCGGGACGCTCAGACTGGCAGCTTGCGCAGAGGCTGGAGGAGGAGTGGTTGCCGAAGGTGTGGCCGCAGTAGCAAGCTCGTCAAGAACAACCGGGCTTTCGAAGTCACACATGACGCCGTGCTTGGAACAGTTGCCACATCTTGGGTGCACCTCATCACACTGTAAGAAGGATTTAGCAGGAAAACCATCAATGCATACGTGGGGGGGGGCGGGTGGAGGGCAACTCTGAGTGCGTAGAGTAGAAAAGTGAACGGCGCTCAGGGATGGAGGCTGGCCTCACCTTGATCTTCCGGTTTTTACATCTGCGACACCCAGCGCGAGATTTCTTGTGTGAGCGCCGGGGTGGCATATCGTAACTACGCCTGGCTAGCTAAGGAACTGAGCTGCAAGCTTGACGACAGGGCGTGCTGGCAGCATGGCCATGAGCGTTGCGTGGGAAGCTGAGTGAGGTGCCTGGGTGGACGACCACCTTGGCTCGCGTTGGTGCCGGAATAGACGCGCGAGAATGAATGCTGGAGCGAGCGGCGGCGACCCTCTTTCGAAAGCAGTCTCATCCGTAACCTTGCAAGAGCTTGCGCTGTCGAAGGAGTCCAAAATCAAAAGAAGCGGCAAAGAAATCGAGATGGCTTTACTTGAAGCCTTTGAGGTCTAGAGACGATAGCATGTGCTTGCGGAGCACAGCCACGCACTGCGGCGGCCATTGGTAGCCTATCGGTGGCCACGGAATCCACGCACCTACTGGCGGCCTACCAAGTAGGTAGTTCTTTGCATCACCGTTCTGAGACTGGACCTCGTAACATTGAAGGAAAATGCAAGATACATGCAGTTTACGCAGGTATACGGAGTAGTAGAGTCAATATGTCTCGATTACCAATTAGTATCTTGTAGGACAGGGCGCGATGGCCTACTTACCTTAGGTAGGTAGGTACCTACCTGTAGTAGCCTGCTTACATTCTTTGTACCTTCCACTGCACCTACCTGCCTATAGGTACCTTAGGTAGGTACCTAATAGGTAATGTGTACTTGTTCGTAGGCAAATATTCTGCTAGACTATAAGGGGTGCCACGTGATGCGCCCGCGTCTCGCTTCATCGTACATATGTACCCTTCCCTAAACTAATGTGCTCGGTAATAGTAATGCAAGAGAAGACGCTTTTGGTTCCGACCATGAGCCGTTGCTGCCCGTGCCTCATCAGCCTAGATGGTGATTTGCTTATGCTAGGTGTGTGAGGCAGTCGGCGGAGAAATCACGGAAGACGTCAATAGTAATAAAAGCTTCAGCGATCCAGAGAAGGAAGGCGTGCAAGCAAACTGGCCAAAGTTGGACACGGATCTTGTCGAGCACCGACGTATCCAATGAGGAGTTGGACAGCGGTGCGGTGCGGTGCTGTGATGCATCCCCCTCTCTCTTATGCTCTTTCAGCCCAGGAAAAGGGCGTGCAGAAAGCGATGTGATTGCTCATCCAAGCTGGACAGCATCCATTCCGAGAAAGCACAGTCGAGGAGGGGTGGCGGAGCAATCAATGATGCTTACCCTTATGACCCAATCCCCCTGCAAGCCGAGCTGCCGACTCCTTAAGTGGTAGGAACTGCAGAATGCGGTGTGCCAGTGATGGGGTTGTCCAATATTACCTTGTCATTTGGTCGCTCCTGCATGCCAGATGGGAATTATGCACATAAATGGAAGGTTCCATGGGCTGGCGGGTGTTTAAACTCGGTGCGGAAATCCGCGCCAACAGTCGGCATGTCGATCCGTGCAGCCAAGGGGCGTACCGGTCCTCTAGCTAGCGCCAGGCGGCAGAAGACGTCAACCGGTAGTAATCACAATAATTACCAATCACGCCGGAAGCGCTCCGTTTAGCTTCAATGTTGGGCGTCTCGGGGCTCGGGGCTTGATGACACAATTTTAAACGTGGTGACGGCAGAGCTTGACGCGGTGGATCGCAGCCCCCAAGTGGAACTCAAAACCCGTCATTGTTTGCGCCGTCTCACTTGCTATGCCTGCCCTGGCCGGCCAGGCATTAGGCATTGCTGTAGTGCTACGGAGTACCAGTATTACTCAATCCCATACAAATGCATATATATACCAACGGGGGGACTCCACCACGAGCAGCCCCTCTAGTTCCATGTCGAGTTGGAAAATTCCATCTGTCCTCTGACGATACATCTTTCTGTTGTCCTCACTTCCTGTGTACTACTCATTGCGAGTGTGAGCTGTTCCTGTCCGAGAAGACCAGGCTGACGCTGTCCAAAACCTGCTGTCTCACTCGACCAACATTGAACACTGCCAGTCCGACGACGGAAACGGCCCCTCCACTGCTGCTTGCTGCCCCTCCGCTTATCATATCAGCTCTGGCGCCGCCAGACCTAAAAAGAAAAAAAAAAAAGCCAAGCCAAGGACAAGGGCAAGGAGCGCAAGAGGAAAGAGAGAGCCAGGACTTCATCAGCAGCCATCCACCGCGCCCTGCCATCACCAGACCCCAACCGAGGGAGACGCACGCACATCACCGTCACGCAGTCAAAATGTCGCCTCCCATCACCTCTGACCCCGTCTCGACGCCCCCGCGTCCCCCGACACCCGTGCACGCCTTCGGCACGCTCGCCGTCCATGCCGGCTCGCCCCACGACCCTCACACCGGCGCCGTCATCGAGTCCATCTCCCTCTCCACGACCTTCGCCCAGACGGCTGTCGGCAAGCCTGTCGGCGAGTACGAGTATTCGCGCTCCTCCAACCCCAACCGCACCAACTTCGAGACGGCTGTCGCTGCCCTCGAGCATGCCCGCTACGCCCTGGCCTTCTCCTCTGGCAGCGCAACCACCGCCACTATCCTGCAGAGCCTGGCCGCCGGCAGCCATGTCATCTCCGTCTCCGACGTCTATGGCGGCACCCATCGCTACTTCACCCAGGTCGCCAAGGCCCACGGCGTCAAGGTCACCTTCACCCCCGAGATTGAGGTCGACATCAGCGAGCACATCAACGACCAGACCCGCCTCGTCTGGATCGAGAGCCCTTCCAACCCTACTCTCCGCCTCGTCGATATCCGCGCTGTCGTCACCGAGGCCCACAAGCATGGCATCCTCGTCGTCGTCGACAACACCTTCTTGTCGCCCTACGTCCAGAACCCTCTCGATCTCGGGGCCGACATCGTCGTCCACAGCGTCACCAAGTACATCAATGGCCACAGCGACGTCGTCATGGGCGTAGCCGCCTTCAACAGCGACGAGCTCAAGACGCGTCTTTCCTTCCTCCAAAACGCCATTGGCGCCGTCCCCTCGGCATTCGACTCGTGGCTCGCCCACCGCGGCCTTAAGACCCTTCACCTCCGCGCTCGCGAGGCCACCCGCAACGCTACCGCCGTCGGCCACGCCCTCGAGGGCTCTCCTCACGTCATTGCCGTCAACTACCCCGGCCTGGACTCCCACCCCCACCGAGACATTGCCGTCCGCCAGCACCGCGACGGCATGGGCGGTGGCATGTTGTCCTTCCGTATTCGCGGCGGCCACGCTGCTGCCGAGCGCTTCTGCCAGGTCACCAAAATCTTCACCCTCGCCGAGTCCCTGGGCGGAGTCGAGTCCCTCGTCGAGCTGCCCAGCAGCATGACGCACGCTGGCATTCCCCGTGACCAAAGAGAGGCCGTCGGCGTCTTTGATGACCTTGTCCGATTGAGCTGCGGTGTCGAAGACGCCGAGGATCTCAAAAACGACGTGCTCCAGGCTCTCGAGCTTGCCGTCAACGAGTCCACCAAGAACGGCATCTCCAACGGTGTCAACGGACAATGAAGAAGTGAATCTTTTTTTCCCTTTAGCGTGATTCCCTCTTTTTTTTCGCTTCGGCAAAAGACAAAATATGACGGGTTTATGAATTAGAGTTAGAGGCAGACAGAGCCAAAGGCACAACAATCTGCAAGGCATCGTCGCAAAATCAAGTTGGATACTCAAACGCATCGCACAGTCTGTTGGCAGAAACGAGCATAGTTCATTTGTTTCCATGGAATTAGTCACGATTGATACATATATTCTATATATATGGACATGGCGTCGCAACACCGCTCAGCTATTTCTCATGCCGTACGCGACAAATTGGGTCAACCTGTGACTAGAGCCTGATACAAAATAGTAACAAAAAAGAGCAAGCGCCGCTATGCAACTTCCTATTACCCTCTGCCGCCCCTCCTCCCACCCCCCCTGGTTACAACTTGTGGCAGAATACATTTGCCTATTATATAGCGTGATAACCAGGTACTTGATCTGGCTCGTGCTTTTTGCCTCCCACCGTCTTACCAGGTCCCATGGTGGACATTATACTGCATCCCTTGAATCCTCCATTGTCGGAATATTAAACAAGTTGTCAACGTACTCGTTGGCCATGCCATTTCCAGCTGTCCACTCACTCCGTCTTCGATGAATCTCATTCATGCCTTGACAAGCCTTTTCGGCAATATAATGTAGTTCATCCAGAGTCCCAGAATTGCAATTATGAAATATACCGTCAATGCGCTTTTGCCATTCTGAAGTCGTATTATCCACGGCGGTTTGGTGAGCGTTTGTATCGTATTCATCAACACGCAGTGGCCGGGTTCTGGGCTTGAGTACGTGTACGAGCTTGTCGTTGGCGTCATGGGGCAAGAACTCGACTGGACTTCCTGAAGGCAGGTTGGGTTGGCGAATGCCCATGACGACTTCGACAAATCGCTGGGATACGCTGCGGCCCAGGCCGCACGGGTCGATGAGATCAAATTCGGGCTGCGGCTGAGTGGACATTTCTTCTCGAAGGTAGTGGTCGTAGGCAAGGAAGGACGCTCGACAAATTCGTAGTCGAGAAAGGGTGGCCCGCAGTGACATGGCCATCCATTTGCAGTCCTCCGCTGGCCGTTGGTTGGGCATGCCGGTCCAGAGGACTTTTGAAGAGTTCTGGTTCCACGTTTGCGATTGCTCCGTCTTCAGGTACACTTCGTTTAGGTAGAGTTCTTCCAGAGTTTCACCAAATGTCTCCATTGCCTTCAGAAAACATTCTGGCAAAATTTCCATTCGCTTCAGCTCGAGGCTGGTCAGATTGGAAAGATAAACTCGCGGTGCCGGTAGAGAGCGTGCCCTCCAATCCTCAACTGGCATTTGCCAAAACTTGGTTTGCTTCAAACCCCGCGGGGGACGATCATCGTGATCCGTTCCTACGAGGCAGAGCGATCTGAGAGAGTCGGCATGCTCAATCAGGTCCCACAGGCAAGAGCCAAACAAACCTGCTCGATGAGGCTCATTGTCGTGTCGTCGCAGGGTCATGACCAAGTGTTCTAATACTGCCACCACAGCCATGATGTTCATGACATCGCTCGGGTTCATCCAGAGGTGGCATATGGCAACGTCGGTGACGTTTTCCAGCACAAGAGTTCTGAGATTGGCCGAGTCTTCTTCTGGGCGCGATGCAAAGGCTTTGAGTGTGTTGGCAAGGATCATGGTCGCCGCGTTGCAGTGCCGTCCAACTAGCTGGAATGGAAGGGTGAGGCGGAGGCCGTCGACGCCACGGCAATAGAAGAGCATTGTCTCAACCATGCTTAAGTATTCGATTTCGGTAAAGGAGGTTACGTTCATGCAGTACTTTTTATGCATGGTTTGGCAAAAGTCTGTCATGGAAGGGATTCGGGCAAAGACTGTTTCGAGAAATTCAACTTCCACTACAGGAGAGTTAGCCAAGATGCCGAAGAGAGGGGACGGGGAGGGCGCAAGGGGAGGCGTGCTCTCATCTCGAAGAACCATCATGTCAATATAAAGGCTCTTGCAGTGATAGCCGATGGTCTGAAGGGCATCTACATCAGGTCGGCGCAGGTGACTGGCTCGGCTCATTCGGGAAAAGTCCAGTCCAAGGGTGCAGCAAACAGACGGCTTCAAGATCCTATCGAATAAGCGGCAAACGAGGCGGAGATTGAGGACGGCGTTCTTATTCTTATGTCCCTGGGCGATGCATTGCTGCAGAATGGCATCTATCAGCTCTCTCGGGAGACGGTCCATGTCGTCTAGCGAGGAGAAAGCGGGCAAGTCAACTTGCAAGCTTCATTGGGGTGAGTGATGCTGTGTGTAGCCAAAGTGGAAGAAGCTTGGTAGGCACAGAGTGAGGAGGGACGCATGATGCTGGTTGGATGGAGGTATTGCGGCCGGCACGGTGACGGATGCATGTAGATGACGTCCGGTGCGGCAGGATCAAGGAAGGGCACAGGGGTCTGCTGGCTCATGGTCAGTGGCGCGTGGGCGGTCGCAGGTCCTCAGTGCTGGGACGCGGTACATATGTCTCCAAAGCCAATTGCTGAAGCCCCTGGACTACGGGGGCTTCCCTACTCAAGTACCAAGGACATTTGAACCCCGGCCTGCACACCACGGATACAGTGGGAGGCGAAAAGTGCCTAGACCAACCTAAGTACTAGGTACCCTACCTACCTTTAGGTACGTACCGCCACTTCAGATAATCTTATCAACTCCCATGTCACCTTTTTTCTCCCAGTCTGCATTCAAATGTGTGTCGAGTCGCAAATCGTCAACGGTGTACTGCGACACCTGCACAGCATTATTCGCGGTCACAAGTTGCACCCTCCGCTCCTCACCATCACAGTGACTATATTATTCAGATAGACGACAAATAAGCACCCTCCTTTTCGGACGCTCTCTGTCCACGCTAGAGCATGGTCTCGGGCTTCAAAGAGAAACTCCTGCGCGTAAAGGACTTTGCTCAATCAATTCTAGGTCGCAGCTCCTCTGTCCGAGAAGCGATCGAGAGGGACGATCCTACATCCTCTAACAACACGAATGTCGGTACCTCGGACGCGACGCCAGCCCGAATCATGACCGAGTCGGCCAAAGATGCCACCGAGACGTCTTCTCAACATAGCCTGAAGCGCACGAGTCTCCATGATGAAAATGAGGCCGGTGAGTGGCAAGTTGTCACGCGGCCAAGCAAAAAGGCCAAAAAAACCCCGCGGCCAGGGAAAAGTTACCCGGCTCTCAACTTCTCCAGCAATGCCCGGCTGCAGTCCAAGATTAACTTGAACAACCTACGAGACTTGGTGACATATATCTTTGCAGACGGCACAGGACCGCAATGGATCGGCGTCTCTCACCGGCCGCACTTCCGGAAGATTGTTGCCATCATGATTCCCGGCCTGGAAGAGGCCATGTTCAAGAAAAATGTCGACTTGGCAACCTACAACGAGGCGAGAGACGACCCCGACGAGCGGCAGCAAGTTCTTACGTCTCCCGACGATTACTACCCACGCGCTCTGAAGAAGGAGACAATTCCTGTGCTTCTGGCCCCCTTTGCAGACATGTTCCCTCACCTGTGGCCGGTGAAAACCCCCGGAGATGACAAACATGGCAAGATGCACTCGCCCATGGCTGCCTTTCTTACCGCCCCAGCCCCCAAGGAGAAGACGTCCAAGCAAGGAGGCGTGAAGCCAGCCTCGGAGCCCCATGGATGGAGGAACAACAGGACGCCCATCACTCAATTCTTGGCTACAGCCGAGGAGCTCTCTGATAACGGATACCTCCTTCACCCGGCCCTGCTACCGGACGGCGAACGCCGGGACAACTTCGTCGCACCAGAGGGCTGGGTGGTCACCAAGGTCGACAGCCTCGAAGATGGCCAGGTGCCGGACGCCGAGATCCAAAAGGGCAGCATGACAGCTGGGCGGGAGGTCCTCGCCCTAGACTGCGAGATGTGCATGACGGGCGAGAACGAGTTCGCCCTCACGCGCATCAGCATCGTCAGCTGGGACGGCAGCGTTGTCCTCGACGAGCTCGTCAAGCCCGACAAGCCCATCACCGACTACGTCACACGCTTCTCCGGCATCACAGAGGAGATGCTGGCCCCGGTAACCACCACCCTGCGCGACATCCAGGCCAAGCTCCTCGACCTCCTTCACCCACGTACCATCCTCCTGGGCCACTCGCTCGAATCCGACACCAAAGCCATCCAGATCGCACACCCCTTCATCGTCGACACATCCATGCTGTATCCGCACCCGCGCGGTCCCCCGCTCAAATCGTCCCTCAAGTACCTCGCCCAGAAGTATCTCTCGCGGGAGATCCAAAAAGGCGGCGCCGAAGGCCACAACAGCATCGAGGACGCCAAGACCTGCCTCGATCTCGTCAAGCAAAAGTGCGAAAAGGGAAAGCTCTGGGGCACCTCCGACGCCCAGGGGGAGAACCTCTTCCGCCGCCTCGCCCGCGCTGGTACCGCGTACAAGGCCCAGGGAGGCGACGCGGCCCTTGGCGGCGTCGAGGTTGGCAAGACGAGCGCCGCAATCGACTGGGGCGATCCGTCCAAGGGCCTCGGCGCAGGAGCAACCTACCAGCTTGGCTGCAGGTCCGACGAGGACGTGACGCGAAACGTGATACGCGCCGTCAACGGCGACCCCGACGGGCTGGAAATCAAAGGCGGCGGCGTGGACTTTGTATGGGCCCGGATGCGGGAGCTCGAGGCCCTCCAGGGCTGGTGGAACAAGAACCGTGTCGAAAACACCAACAGCGACGGCGGACCACCCCAAGATGCTGCCGATGGCGATGGCGGTGTCTCCGCGACGGCCGACGCCAACGCCACCACGTCGCCGCTCGAGCAGGCCTTGACAAGACTAACAGAGCGTCTTGTTCGGATTCACGCCGCCCTGCCGCCCTGCACGGCCATCATTGTGTACAGTGGATCGGGAGACCCTCGGAAGATGTCGCAGCTGCAGCAGATGCACGCCAAATGGAGGAGGGAGTACAATACTCCGGGCAAGAAGTGGGATGAACTAAGTGTCAAGTGGACAGATGTAGAGGACCAAGCTCTTAGGAGGGCCGCTCAAAAGGCAAGGTCAGGAATTGCATTTGTCTCGGTCAAGTAGACCCAGTATTGTACATCATCAGTGCCAATATAGATGAATAGAATAACCAAGAGTAAAATATAAGTACTTCGTTATGGACCGCCAGCTAAAATCAAAAGATGCTGCCGCTCATTTCTCACGAATCCACGCTATCCTACCTGTACGTACATGTACTCCGTATGACTGATCCGATTCCCCAACCCATCCATTTTTATGCAAACGATACCCAAAACAAGTGCACTTTTGGAATTACCCTCCCTCCCTATTAAGTTACGCTCAAACCCTCCAAGGGTGCGAGGCAAAAAGCAAATACACAAAAAAAAAGACCAAGACAAAACGCTTATCCCATCGCCATGGAAAAATCAAGAGCCCATCTCGCACACAATCGGCGCACTGACTAAGCATAGCCAAACTGTCGCGCAGTAAAAGGGGCAAATAGTCCACCGTCTCACCCTGTAACACTGAATAAAATTTGTATTGCGCGTGCGGTTATAAAGGAAAAGTCTATAAGTGTCGTATTTGACAAAGAGCCCGAAATAGTAAAGAGGCCGTTAATCGTCAGCTGTTGCATTATTATAAATTTCAAACAAGTAGAAGAATCTAGTGTTTCGGTTCAAATTGCTCAATCTGAAGGTGGCCTGGTTCACGAGTGACGTGATTTTTTGCGCCCAAGGCTGCCAAAATCGTCCACGAGCTCCGCAGAACTACCCAAGAGGTCCAGCGGCGGCAGTTGAGGGGGGTCGACACGATTGATCTCATGTTGTTGAACCCTGCCATAACTAGCGTGTTTTTCGTCTTGCCTGCTGCCTTGCAGGTCGATATCTGACAGCTCGCCGGGAAACTCTGAGGAAGATTTGGAAGAGAGGCGTTGCTGCCGCGACGAGGTCCGTTCGAATGGCAAGGCCGATGACGCCGACAAGGTTTGTCTATGGCCCCTGGCAGACGGTCCCCCATCATGAGACGCATGGTCGGATGGCGCTGGAGAGCTTGAACTTATCGCAGACAGTACCGGTAGGTGCCGGTCATCCACTAAGCCTGAGATTCTCTTAGAACTTTTGCGTGGAATTTCTGGCAGGCTCAGTCCGAGCAGTTCACCTTGTTTAGAACCTCTCGGCAATTTCGAGTGATCGATATCTTCCTCTTCCTCATCATTATCGGAATCTGAGTCGGAACCACGCGGAGTGCCATCATCCGTGAGCAGGTCTCCTGGACTTCGCTGGGGAGACCTGGGAGGACGCTTCACAGGAGGATCGCCTTCATCGTCTGAATCGATCGGTCCGTTTCTCAACACACCCATGGCAACAGGGATGCCTTCGGGGGGAGTCTCGTCTCCAAAACCCCCATTCCGTACCATGTCTGGGGGCATTCTAGAGCTTCGGACAACTTCGAATCCCTTCCCCTTTTCCTTGCTCTTGCCGCCGAACAGTGTTCTGAACCAGCCAGTTGCAGTAGCCACTGGACCGGTAGGATCGGCTGGACCAGTTCCAAGTCGTCGCCCGGGGTTGTCCGAGTTCAATGCCGGGCCACGCACACCGTAATAAAAGTCAACTTCACGTGTGGCGTAGTCCGGGCGGTTCGCAGGCAAGTTCATGATACCGCCCCCGGCACCAGGAGGAGCAGGTGTTGCTGCGCGAGTAGTGTCCTCGCCAGAGACGTCTCCACTCTCCCCTACAGTGGCCGGAGTGAGAGCGGCTTGTTTGGGGTCGAGTCCCAAAGCATTGGAGGTCGGTGTATCCGAGTGTGTCGAGTCTCGCAGGTTCGCGTTGTTGTTTGCTGTTCGGCGTGGCGGTCGATAGTAGGGATCGGATGGCTCCATATGACCGCCAGCAAGTATCGGACGACCAACTGTGGGCGATGCGACAAAGGAAAAGGTGCTCGTCTCCCCCGGGGTTCCGGGAATGTAGGAACTGTTTGTATCGACGTGGCGGTGACCGGCCGACCACATGTCAGCGCTATCAAGAACCGAACTACTCCGCTGGTTATGTGCGGCGATACCGCCATAGCTAGCCCCCGAAGCACTTCGAAGGCGGCCACCTGGTACGGAGTAGCCAGTCCTGCTGGTACCCTCTTCAGCATGCAGCATTGCCATGGACGACAGCTGACTGGCTCTCGAGGGAGCGGTTCGGTGCGTTTCACGTCGTGACAGTTGGCGCATACCGAAAATCTTGGACAGGCCCCCCCTAGTCAGGCCAGTGATGTTGTCTCCTCCAGCGCCCAACAAACGTGCTACAACTTCGACTATTGTTGACAACGCACTCAAGAAGAACCCAAAGAAAAGAACACTGCCGTGAATGAGTAGGATAGCATATCCAATCCACCCTTTGGGTCCCTCTGTAACACCAAGACTGGGGGCAAAGGCGACCATCAAAAGAACACACGCGAGCCGGAGGATGGCAAACAACGTATGATAGGCGTTCATTGACGTAGATGACTGGAAAGGCCGAAACGCGTGAATGGTGAACATTTGAATGACTTCGCAAATGGCTAGCAAGACGACTTGGGAAATGCCACTGGGTTGCACGGCTCCAATAGCCACGCCCCGAACAAAGTTGAGCAAAACCGGAATCAGGGCAAAAGCGGCAGCTTCGTCAGAGTATGTGTTATACAATGGTCCATATCGCAAGACGGTAGGCAAGTCGTCAAACAGGACTGATTTTGGTTTTGTCCGAATAATGAGTAGGAGGATATAGCAAGCAAAGGCCAATAGCACAGCTATGGTGACGGCAGCCAAGACAACGGTGAATGCGGGCGATTCGTGCGCAACAACCAGTTGAAAACACGACAGGGCAACAACCGGCATCAGCAAAAAGTTAAAGACGATTCGAATCACATTTCCGATGCTGAAGGGAATGTTTTTTGCACGGAGATCCTCCTCTGGGATGTTTTGGATCTTTCGATACAGCCACTGAACAAGGAATCCGGCTTGGGTGAGGACGAAGACTGCTGCAATAATAACGCAGAGCCAGACCATCAGGCCCGCCCAGATGTCGGCACTCTCAGACATGCCAACCAACTGGCCAAGGGCATGTAGGCCGTAGCCATCCTGAGGGTCAGTGATGTAGATGCCATCGCGGACGCTCTGCCAGCCAGGGGTGTGCGTAACAAAGCTTTCGTTGAACATGAGTGCAGACCACCCAACCTGGCTCACGACGGGCTGAAAGAAACCAGGATAGCTCAGAGACAGTGCGCCAGACAGGGCTATAAATTGAATATATTGCAAACAATCTCCGAAACCGGGTGTGACGAGTCGGAGCAGGTCGGCGTCCCGGCCATAGTTGGACGTCCAATGGAAAATGTTGGAGCTTCCCCATGGGCTGAAGATGGCAGCAAACACGACAGCGAAGCCACAAAATATAAGGACAATCAAGGGCATGATCTTAAGTACCCATGAGAGATTCCCGAGATCCGGAGTGATGGTGGCGGAAATACAACCAATGTTGTCACCCCGTTGGTTACCAAAGATGATCAACATGGTGGTCGCAAAGGAAGCAAGTTGATATGATGAGCGCATGTCGTTTGTGATGTTCATCGATGGCAGATCAGCCAGGGTCCTATCGAAGTTAGTTTGCTGCTCAGTCGCATCGTCTCTCGCGCGCCGTCTCGCCGTCTGCCTGTTGCGTATCCGCACTTACACTTTGCCCGTGGTATTAAATACCGGAGCCAACGGACAATGCCCCCCAACCAGCGCCTGCTCACAAAAGAATCTTCTACTACTCCAAGGCGTGTAGGTGAGCATGCCAATAGAGCTCTTGACCGTGGTGCCGTTTTCATCGTTTTCCGAGTTGACAATCTTGCCGTCGGTCTTATTATCGTTGGTCCAATCGGGACTAGTCGGCGGCGGCAGCATCTGCTTGTTCACTGAGCCCGTGACATTTCCCCAGACAATGAACTGGAAGTTGTGGGCGTCATTTTGGGTGTCAAACTTGGCGTGGGCTTCGACTGGAACCCATTGCAAAAACGGCGGTTGTTGTGATTGTACCGAATCGGGCAGACAGTTGGTGTACTTGATTTGGACGGCCGAAGCAGGACGGCAGGCGAGGGATAGGAGAAGTATGATGGCGAGGAATCCAGAGGGAGTAGTAATGAGACTTGTTAGGAATCGAGGCATGGGCCGTATGTATTTCCTGCGGCCCGGTCGACTCGTGCAACCAGGAGTCTGCCAAAGGCAGGCCGAGGCTGGGCTACAGCAAGAATCAGCGGAAACAGATGAACACGTCGATGATGAGTCCATTCGGGCTTGGGGTTTTCGCCTTGGGTGGGAGCTTCGATGCTCTGCGGTCGACGATGGCGAAGTGAGACGTCTGCACAACCGGCCGTCAAGGCGCTGCTCCCAGTCGCGCCCGCCAGCCATGCTGGGGCGCATGTATTTCGATGCTCGCCGCATTCAAAGGCAGCGCATCTTGGGGGAATGTTCCGTAGTTGAAGCTGTGGCAAATCGAGGTGGAAAAAAAGAAAGAAAAAAGAGCGAGCGACGAGAGCTTGTTGTTGCGTGTGCGTTTCGTCGAGGCGGGACAGGCTGCGGACAGGAGAGCACCAGCCTCGAGAGAAAAAGGTGAAACAGGCCGTCGACAGCCAATTGTCTTGCTGTGTCTGCAGAATTCTGCGTAGAGAAGTGCAACGTCTTGTACCACCCAATCTGCCGAAGAATAAAAATAAACGCTTTGCTTTCCAAGTGAAGGGGTCGACACTAACAATAGAGAGAAGCCCAGTATTGTACAGAGCATACGGTGGAGGAAAAGAGAGAAGAAACAGAGAGCCGTTGACTACAGATGGAGACACGGGCGACGGGCATCGGGGACCAGGGGACCAGGGGATAAATCAGGCCAGTCTGTGCTGGGATACGACGACAGCACTTGAGCCCAGGAGCCAGGGCAAAGGCCGGCAACGCAGGCACCAACCAGCACCAGACCAGACGGTACCAGTGTACAGGCAGAAAGCAGGAGTAGCGGAAGAGCTGAGCTGGCTGGGCAGGCTGGGCAGCTGGGATCGGCCTTGACCAGCCAGCCAATGTGGAGTTGATGGTGCGTGTGGAGTTTAAAGGTGGCAGAGGCAGAGGTGCAGAGATGCAGAGGTGCAGAGATGCAGAGGTGCAGAGATGACGGAGGCGACAATGCTCGAGTGGGGGGGAGCGGCCTGGCGGGTTCAATGTGGCGGTTGGCTGTTGGCAGCGGCTTGGTGACCCTGTAGCAGTAGTACTAGTAACCGTCCAACCGTAACGGCGGCTTCTCGCCAACAAGCCACTACCAGTGTCCATTGTCTGGTGCATCGTTGTCCAGTGCATCCAGCAACTCGTTCAATGTTCGGAGCATCGCCAGACGCACGCAATAATGGCCAACAACAACACAACAAAAAAAAAGAAAAAGAGAAAAAGAGCTCGCCAGATCCCCAGAGCCCCATGCTTCACCACATGCCGCCGCTCCTCACCAATCAGCTACACCTTTTCTCGGGCCATGCGACAAAAAAGAGAGCAAAAATCCGGAGTTGGCCTGGGCTGGAATGTACCGTGGCCGGGAATAATCTATGTGTGATTCACGCCGCAAACGGGAGACTGATAGTATGTAGTAATCTTTTTACGAGACCACACCCACACTCGCACACACACACACAAACACCATTATTACAGTAGGTGGTGTACTGCATACATACCTAGGTACTGGCTTCAAGTTCCGATAAGTTGCCAGGCGGAAATCGAGGATTACCACACTGTGCTGCTCAAAGTACCTCCTCCATCACTCTCCAATCTTGCCTTGCCGTCATACTTCCGCGTCCCAGTCATGACGAAAACTCGGCTCTGCAGCACCTGGGGCCCCTGCATTTCCTGCTGCGTGCAACGGCCTCCGGCGAGATGGGACGAGATGACACGGAGCCGTCGCCGCTCATCCCACAGACCAAGCTGGAGCGTCTTCCGGCCTCTCCCCAGCATCGTCGACGGGGAGACTTTTCGACCATGGGCCAAACTCCAAGCAACTCCCATCTTGGGTAGCGATGGGAGGCGGTGCATCGCACTAGCGCAGCCGTCCTGAAACCTCTCGCTCCCTCGTGCTTCTTGCCTCTCTGCCCGTGGCTGCCGTGGCTGCACATGTGCTCGTCAAGCTCGTCAAGCTCGTGTATGCCCCTGCTCTGCCCGCCTCCACAAGCCCCCATTACCCGCCGCCATCGTCGCAGAGAGTGGCACAGCCGGCCTCTGATCATCGTCTTAGCCGACCGGACCCATGAACAATGTTGTCGTTTCGGTGGCTGCGTCAGCCTGCGGCAAAGACCAGCCTTGCAGTGTGCGCCTGCCCCTGTGTTGGACTGAACGAACCAGACCGCGATTCCCGTTCGCTTACTCTCATCTCGCGTCGCCTAAGTGCATAAAAAACGCGCCGCAGCTCCGACAACAGACCGTACTCCGTATGCAAAATTGAATAAAGCGAAAGCGTCAATTGCCATCCTCATATTACCTTGGCGTCTTATCGAACCGTCTCTTCACTGGCATAGCCAAAAATGCACCAGACAAAAATACTTCAGTCATTATCGCCCTTGGGCCTTTCGAATGCTCCGTGCAACTTGATCAACACATATTTCCGAGGATTCACTGGGGAGTCAGCTATGTAAGTTATTAGTACCTCTGTATATTCATGTACACCAGACTTCGAACGTTGCAACATTGAACCTTCAATGTTAGCGCTCTAGCGCCATGACCCACTAGAGTCATCCTTGCATGTGGTCCTCGTAGCCCCTGTGGCCCGCTCTGGCTGAGCTTAACTACACCACAAGCTGGGCTAATTATAAATTTGAAGTCAATAATACTATGACAATCATAGCCATTCCAGCAGTGTAATAAAACACAATCAAATGCAACGTGATTGACTGAAAAAATCTGCCTCCCGCACCTATCTGCGTTGGCCAATGCAATGCAATGCCCTTGTTTTTTGTGTATTATATGATTGAATCGGCTTCAATCATCGCACCGTGATATCCATCACGAGCCACCGGTTGTTGACCTGCCAAATACTTATGTAAAGTAGGTAGCATATAGCATGACCACCACCCCACAGCCTAGCAGATACGAGCTTTTTGATCGGGTAGCCCCGACAAAACGTCCTCTTGGACTTGCTCAGGATTTTGTTCCCGCTACTCAGCCCTACATTTACCCTTGGCTCTTGACTCTAGTGTGTATTCCACGTGTCCTGGAATGTTGTTTCTCTTCATCCATGAACTTACCGATGACTGCAACTCTCGTTGAACATAGTGAGTTTCTGAGAGATTTCGGAATGGGAGGGACATTCTAAGGTTTCCATGGGTTATGTACGCCTCCAACGGTGAATGATGATTCATCTGATGCTGAATTTGTTGAATCTGTTGATGAACAATGGTACACAAACCAAACGTTTGCTTGGCAGCATCGATGCGCTCAAGTGGGAGCTGGCCAGTGGACATTCGCCTTACTTGTCTGTGATGGGTATGGAAACGCTGTGCCCTAACATGGTATTCACGAGACTCCTCTGTGGTCCATGCTAGCTTATTATTGGATTGCGATGGCCTGTTAACGCGCCGGGTTTCCCGCTCGGTCAATATATTTAGTGAGCCCTCACTTTCTTGGCATCCCTTGTGGTGGCCATCATTTTTCTGAAAAAAGGTTGGCATATGAACAGGCTGATTTAGTAGCTCCGGGGGGGTAAAATGAAAAGGAGCCGGACGTTTTGTGTAAGGCGGCGTCAACTGAGGTGCTTGAGAATGCGACGAAGCCGATGACAAGAATGATTTTATGTTATTCCTAGGAATTTCATCATGAATTCTGCACGGCTGATTCAAAACAACGAGAGATGGATCTTCCTGGGCGAGACCAGGCCCAACAGTCCGCCGCGGATAGACCTGGGATGGGCCGGACACACCTGCCGCGCTAGCAGCACTTCTGTAAGAGATATGATTGGTACCAGAGGACGATTTTCCTTGTCTTGAACCATTTTGCGGTGAGACATCCCTTAGAAACTCGTTATGACTTTGTCGAGCAATGTTTGTTCCAAGGACGAATGAATTGCTAAGCTGAGGACGAGGTCTAATCTGCCTGTTCGCTTGCTCATGTCTATATCTAGGATCTGAAGGCGGGGGAGTAAGCATCCGAAGAGAAATGCTATCCGAAGGTGAAATTACTTCGTCATCTTGCGTTTCCTCGGAGTTTGTCCCAGCGAGATATAAAGACGGGGTTGTCCTCTCCGGCCCCTGTGCCCCGAGATGACGAGTTGAGTTTGCAACCCTTCGCAATGACGGTACTATATCCCTTCTGCTGGCATTTATGATATGCCTTGGGACTATTGAATCTGATCCTGGTGGCTCCGGAGTAGACTCCGCTTCTTCTCGTATTCTGTTCAAGGCGATGTCGCTCAGGGGCTGCAAGGGAGTGCGATTGGAAGGACTGGACTCGTCCAGTTGAGGACCTACTGGGCTTGCCACGACGGTTCCGGCAGTTGCAGTATCATCATGGGAAATCTTGAAGCCGTCTTTTGGCAGGGACTGAAAGTAGTGACGAATGGTTTTTGTCTGGCGGGGATGTTGCTCCTGATTGTTTGTGTGACTGTCCCGGACAGAGGGTGGCCCAGCTGGAATTTCCACTTCGATACCCATATCCATGTTCTCTTCGTCCGAATCACTATCCTCTTTCCGCCCCATATTTACTGTGAAAGTCGTCTTCATTGTAGTCTGAATCTTCGGCCTCGTAGCCCTTGAGGTGTTTTGGGGGGCTTGAGTATTGTCAAGGTTGTCATGTTGGCCGCTAACTTCATCAATAGAGGCACAGGATACACATTCATCCTCAAGCTCGGTTGCGAGCTGCCTTCCACACTCTCGGGCATTATTAGGCTGTGTACTGGCAGTGGCCGGTGGGTGTGTAGCTGCAAGAGCCTGATTGTGCTTTTCGTATGCTCGCTTACACACAAGCTCAAAGCCATCAAGGAGGCCCTTCTCGTCAAAAATTAAGAGCTCGTCCTTCCTCATTGTGATGTTTGGGTCGTAGCTGCGTGGGGGACATCGTATGTTGATTTGCAGAAACACGCCACATTGTCTTTCCGCGGATTTCGGTGCTGTGGTCTGGGATATGTGAGATTTCAAAATACTTGTCATTTTTTTCGTAACATGCCAACCAGCAGACATTGGCCTGTTATCAACAGATAGATGCGCTCCCCGAACTTTGAAATCCTTGGAAATGATATATGGTTTCTGGATATAGCCACTAAACACCCATCGGGCGGGCTCCCGTGTCTCCATCTGGGATATCGACTCTCTGTTGAAATGTATCTCTTCATATACCTCGATGCAATTCACCATGCCATTTGCGCCCAATATCTGTAAGATTGCCTCTCGCTTTAGATCGGGCGGCTTTGGCGAATAAGCCCACAGTGGTTTGGTATCCCCTATTATTTTCAGTGACATTTTAACATTTGGGCGAGCAAAAACATATTGCCTTAAAAGTTGCTGGATTTGGGAAATACAATTCTTCGCCTGCTTCAGAGCATACTGCTTTCTTGGGGGGAGATTCTCAAAGAGCCTCGTAACTGCTACTGTGGTTCCAACGGTAGAGGAAACTGGCCGCCGGTCCTTGACACCACCCGTGCCCGGTATTAACTCGATTCTCCAGGCTACAGGATCCCCGGGACTCTTTGTAATAATTGAAACGTTGGCTATTGAATTGGCACTTGCCAATGCTTCACCCCGAAATCCAAGCGTCGTCCCGCCAACCTCGACTAATTCGCTGTACTCTCTGAGCTTGCTAGTATGTGCCCGTCTGCCTAGGGCACCGAAATCACTTATATCGATGCCACTTCCATTGTCTCTGACTGAAATTCTGTCAATAGTATTTGAAGAAGCGGCTATCTCGACGGCGGTTGCTTGGGAATCCAGCGCGTTGTCTAGCAGCTCCTTGACTAAATCGTACGGCGTCGTGATATTCATTGAGGAATCCAAAAGTCGAACAGTAGACTGAGGGAGAGGACGGATCGACATGATTAGATGTATTCTAGATGTGCCTCGATTAAAAAGATATGCTTCAAGGGATAGAAACTTGTCAATTTAGTGAATTTGAGTCATTCTTAATAATGGAGAAAATATGAAAATTCGCCAAAACAAAAAAATTCGAGAAGCAGGAAATGCAACTGCCATCTCTTTCTGTGTTGAACCTCTGCTGAATGCCGCTTGGGAAGGAGCTGCTGCCACAAATTGGGAAGGCAGGAGACACAGTGCAACAGCAACCGGTTCACAACTGACATTTTTCATCCTAGACGGAAGAAATAATTCAGACTCTTAAAGCCACCTCTTCATCATTCAACAAAATTCTTCGAGACGTTCAAAATTGCGATGCTTTCCATTCAGCCATCTCGTGGCCTTTGCCCTCTGCTACATGTGATTGGTCAGCCTTTAACAATCCATCTTGGGCATCTTCAAGAATCCCCCACCATGCGACCGAGAGCCCCGCGACGACTCATCGCACACAGACAGCTCTCCCTCCGTCATCACTCAGCATCGAGTTCGTTCCAAGTCTAGATACGATCTTCTCACCGACGAGCTGTGCAAGCAGGACTTTACCATGTCTTCTCTCAAAGGCCCTACCCCTCAGCAGCACGACGGCTCCGGCCTCCGCATCGGCATCGTCCACGCCCGCTGGAACGATTCCGTCATTGCTCCCCTCGTTGCCGGAGCCAAGGAAAAGCTGCTCGCCTGCGGTGTCAAGGAGTCCAATATTGTGGTCCAGTCGTGTCCGGGATCATTTGAGCTTCCCTTTGCTGTTCAGCGGTAGGTTTTCGTAGCAATCAATTACCAGCTCTTTCAGCTTCTCCCAGCTCTACGGACGAGCCTCGTAAAACGCAACACGCTGCTGACGAAACCCAGACTCAACTCTGCCTCTCAGATCCAATCCACCTCCGCCGGCGGCCCTTCAGCAACAGACCTACTCGCCTCTTCAACAACAGACCTGACTTCGCTCTCCAGCGGCGCCGCGTCAGGTCCCTTTGACGCCATCATCGCTGTTGGCGTCCTTATCAAGGGTGAAACCATGCACTTTGAATACATTGCCGACGCCGTGTCCCACGGCCTCATGCGCGTACAGCTAGATACCGGTATTCCCGTTATTTTTGGTGTCTTGACTGTCCTTAGCGATGAGCAAGCCCAGGCTCGCGCTGGGATCAATGGAAAGGGTCACAACCATGGCGAGGACTGGGGCCTGGCTGCTGTTGAGATGGGCGTTAAGAGACGGGAGTGGACCCAAGGAAAGATTGAAGGATAGAAACGAATTTCCCACAGAAAAAAAGGGAATGGGGAATTTCGAGAAATAAAATAAGTAAAATTTGGAAAATTCAGCAACGTACCTATCATTGATTGTGGAATCCAGGTCGGTTAACCATGTCTACATGTGATGCAATGGCCATAACATTCACAACTCAGATTTTCAACCAGCTATGCATACAGTGTATTAGATTAAGATGCAGCAAAGGCTAGCTTAGCCAACAAAGAGAAACCAATGGTAAAGCCAGAGCTTTTCGCCGTCAATAAATCCTTACACGAAATGCTCCCCATGACAAACTTGCAAGAAATTTTCACTCCACCTACTTAAATTACTCGAATTAACACATAATACCCATAATCTATCATACGTGATGCGACGCGTAACCGCCAAGTGAAAGTGTGAACAGTAGCCAACTACTCAAAAAATATAAAAAGCCAAACGCCCATTGGCTTTATACAAAATGTCAATATCTAGCGTTAAAAAAAACTGTTTGCGGGGCCGGGGCCGTGGGAATATCCAACAACACATGATTATTTTCGTCTGTTAGTCCAAAAATGAGTATGTAGCCACAGGTGCGGTTTGGTAGAGTGAAAATGGAGATGCAAAGGAACCTCCAACAGGCTGAATCTAGTTTAGCAGATGTAGCCTTAAAAAGCGATGTTCATTTCGTTTTCCGTGTTTTTCTTACTCCTCCACATTGATCGCTTCTTGTCTCTCTTGGCTTTCATGGATTCCCAGCCTTGCTCTTCATCGTCGTCTGAGCCTTCATGGGAATTACCCATGAGCTTTACGGTCGATTTGCTTCTGTCGTCGCTCCAGTTAGAGAGAGAGAGGTCGCCGGACATGGTGTTGGATCGCACATGTTGACCAGGAAGAGGAGACAATGCCGGCGCTTGCGATACGGGTCTGTATCGTCCAGGCAAGCCAACATTACTCCGCTCAGAGGGAGCAATTGAAGGTTGGTAAGTGCCGTGAACACCGGAACCACGGATGGAGAGAGCTCCTTGTTGACGGGGTGCCATGAAGGAAGCCGAGCTGGGTTGTACCATGCTCATTGTACGCATACCGTAATCCATTCGACGGGGATCCGTCATATGGTCAGCCACCATGGAATGACGTGATAGATCGCCCATAGACTGATTCCCTGGTAGATGACCGCGGTATGGTGGTTGCATAGGAGGCTGTTGCTGTGGTGGCGGTCCTCCGCCGTTTGGACTTCCCGCCATCATTTGCATGAACTGCATTTGCATCTGCATGAACTGATGCATGTGCTGTGTCATTTGAATCTGCGCCTGGTCACCAGGAGTCAACATTTGCTGTTGCGGCATCTGATGCATTTGAGGCATGCCTTGAATGCCTTGCATCCCTCCTCCTTGATACATGGTATGAGAAGGGATGCCAGTGTACGGGTCATATCCAGCATTCCCGCCAATATTCATTGCGCCGCCAATTAGCTTGTTCGGGTCCATGCTGGGACTGCCCCGTCGCAGGGCTCTCGACCGCTCTTCATTGGCGATCACGCCTACAAGACCGCCGGGAGGAAGAGGACCTCCCTGTGGTAGTTGTGGTGAAGGTTGTCTGGGATCGGCACCAAAGGTCAATGACTCCCTTATCGCAGGTCTAGCAATACTAGCTCCAACAAACGGATCCTGGGGGAGATTTCGAGCAAAAGCTGGAAGGGCGGAAAGACGGCGACCACTGACAGATGCAGAATCACCCATGACTGATGGGGCACGGCCGCCTGCAGGTGGCCCCACGACAGAGGCACGCAAGTTGGGGTTTGATCCGGACATGCTAAGACGGGTCGGTGGGCGGTTCTTGGCCGGAAATCCATGGGCTTGAAGGATGGCCAGCGGGACATCTTCATCATCCTCTTCAGACGAACCACCCGTAGTTGCAGGGTCCGGCGACAAAGTATTCAAGTGATTCAGGGCTGGTGCACTAGAAGACGACAACATGCCGGGTCGAGCTGGTTGTCTTGCCGGCAGGGGGGCCGCATTAGTTTCTCCCGTAACCTTCATCATTTGCTGCCTGTAGACCGCCATATGAGCTTCTTGCTTTCGTCTTTGCCTCGTTTGCTGCTTTGACTTCTCCTGTTCGTCCTCATCGTCATCGTAGTTTATCTCATCGTCATCGTCGTCTTCCACATTGACCACCGGGGGGTCATTGCTATTGGACTCCTGAGAGATACCCAGACTCTCTTTATCCTGTCGGTACTTTTCAAACTCAGCAGGGGTCATAACCTTGTTGCGCGGAGGGTTTGACGATCGCGGTAGATATCGGTGCGAAGCTCGGTTGACTCTGGATAAGCTGCCCTCGAACATATTTTCTTCCTTTCCGAGATTCAGAGGCCTCGGATTCGACACTGTCGGTTCCAGCGATTCCTCGCCGTATCGAGGGCGCAAGGAACTGCTTTGTGGTTTCTCACTAGGGTCCGTTGACAAAAACTTCATCGCCGTGAACGACTCTCGTAAAAGCTTTGCGTCTTCATCCTCGACGATATCTGCTGGCCGACTCGAGTATTTGAAGGAGTTGAGATGCTCATGTCGAGGAACAGGTGGCGGCGGTAGGTCTTTTTCGGAAGATGTAGGCGAAGTAGGTGCATCGTCACTATATGTTGGGCTGTATCGCTGGTTCAAGAGCGGCTCAGTTGATTTAATGTTGTCTGGACTGAGAGGACCGGGAGTGGCATAGCGATTGCCAGTCAATGACCTCGGGGCTGCTGAGTCTTGGTTGGCCATTGTCAGGGTCGCGGTGCTTGCTCTTTTGTCGAAGGTCTTGAACATGGAGCCAAAGTCGCCGCCTAAATCTAGAGGCCCTTCACTACCACCTCCAGGGCTAGTGTTGTTGCTCGGGGTTGCTGTGCTTGTTGTGGATGCAGTCATGCCTCTAGAGACTGCGACACCAGGATTATCTCCGCTAATGCTCAAAATGGGCGGCAGATCAGGAATGGGGTCTTGTTTGGGTGGGGGAATGGAGTGTTTCTTTTGTCCTCCAAATGAGAAGGTTCGGGTGGCTCGGTCTAATAATCCAGCGCCAATGGACTTGGATCCGGGCCGGCTCGGGCTTTCATGTGGTGCTGACTGTGGCGGTAATCGGCCATCATCGTGACCATTGGGGCCTCCCATGTCAGCAGATGACGGGGCGGTAGAGGCATTGCTGTGTCTTGAGGAATTATCGGTCGATGTTCCCTTGGTGGTGTTGGAAATGTTGCTACCGCTTTTCGGAGTTGTTAGCCATCCAGCTCGCTTCCACCACAGCAGGGTACCACGATAAATCAAATAGGGCCCTAAAAGGGAACCATGCAACGATGCCTATTATGAATGATGGGCCTGATTTGGTTTACTTACCGATTGATCTTCAGATCAGCAAACATATTATCCTCTGCACCCAAATCGACGAGGTTCGTCTTGACAGGAAATGACTTGGACGGTTTGGCCATTCTCGCGCCACCATCAAACGACCGCCCGCCTTGAATTTCCGACCGTTCAATCACACGGAATGACGGCGCCTCTTGAGGGGCCATCGGGGCATTTTCGTGGACATCTGCAGCGGATTTCCGCTTGGTAAACGCAACTGAGAATCTAGGCATGTAGACTGCCTGCCAAATGCGCTGTCTTGTTGTCCTTTGCAAGCTTCCCGCACACACGCATGCACGCACCAAGAAATTTCGGTAACCAAATCCGGGTCGTGGGCGAGCGTTTAGGTTCTCAGGTTTGACGAGGGCGGGCCGGGAAAATTCTCAGGTGGGAAATCGAAAAGGGGAGGTTTGCAATACGAGGTGCCACGGTCGCGCAAAACAGTACGGAACAGGGAGCTCCGGCGAGATTTTGACTCGATGATGCTTCAGAAGCAAGGTGAGCGGACAACTGCGGCAAAGGAGTTAGTCATCAGTTTGAGAAGGTGAGTTGAGGACTTGTCGGGCGAGACGGGAATCGCCGTCCAATACATTTCAGGGGGTGTTTGCTCCAAAGAGCCAGATATCCGCCCGCCAGCTCTCTCTGCATTAGCCACGACGGGCTGCTACGAAACCTGAGACTTTCCCAAGTCGATGATACTATGGCCTGGCCGCATAGACGGCGGATGATGGGGAGAAGGGGTCGCCAAGGATGGTGCAAGACTCACATTAACTTTGTCCAGAGCAAGATAATAAAAAGGCAAAAAAGAAATCAAAAAAATACCAATATGACAGCAGGGCAATGATGCAAGAGGATGAGGCAAATAGACAAAAAGAAAGAAGAGTAGGCTAAACACAGAACAGAAAAATGAGGCAGGATGAGATGGTCCAGCGAACGTTGTGAAAGAGAATGTTGGCCTCTTGAAGAAGTGCAGGCAGAGAGAAGGGTCGAACGACAGGTACGGGGAAGACGACCAAACGGCCAAGCCAAATTCGAAGAACGGGTCAACGGGCTTGGTGGGCTGCGGACGGTTCAATGTGTCTGGTTCAACATTCGACGTGGGCCTGGCCTGAGAGCGACAGGTCGAACGGCTTGGGGGGGGAGTCAACCAAACTTTACAAGGCCCAAAAAAATGGAGATGCCCGTTGCCCGTTGTCGGTGTCGTTCACGTCGTTGGTCGCAATCGGTTCAGTCGTGCAATAATCCTCAAAAGGACTCGAGGGCGCGACAGACAAACGCCAAACCCGTGCAGCAGCTGGCGGATGTTTTGGACAGAATTGAGCGTCAACAGGCCACGGGGTCAAGACTTGTGGTATTGGAGAGAAAAGAAGATTCGGCAGAGCTGCCAGGTTTACGAGAAAGGGGAAGGTTTCTCCCAGGCGACGGAACAGCCACTGGCAACCAACCGGGCCTGCAGGCCTGGCCCATGATCCACGGCCGACCTGGACCTGGACCAATCTTGCGAACTCGGGAACATGGGCGACTTCTGAAAGCACCAATCGACGCGCAATGTTCGGGCCAGTGGCCACATTCGACATCTGGACACATGCAACATGTGCAGTCGATGGTAATATGTAGGTACATGTGTACATACACACTCCG